TTCTCTCTGTCTCTATTTTCTCTTCACTTATAAAAAAGATCACTGATGATGAAGAAATAAATAAACTATATAAACTAATATTTGGTTTAGTTTTCTACTGAAGTGACACAAAAAAAAGATCACTTTAGCCCCACCCACTTTGCACACAGTTGGCTATAAATCACACATACATGATCAGATCTTCGCACAATTTTGTGTACATCATTAGGGAAGTCAACTAAACACATTAGTGTTAGTTTGACTATATCACTTTAGGCCTCGCAAACTTTGCACATGGTTTGACTCTAAATCACACATACTGTACATGATTCGAACTGAACCATATTTTGAGTGCATCATAATGGAGACCTGCTCAACACGTTTGTGTAGCCCTCTGTCTGTCTGTCCCTCTGTTCAGCTTATAAGATTATTTAAATAATGAAGGTCGCTCCTGAATGGCGATGGGGACAACAGTGACAGTTGGCAATGAGTTCTTGTGTTACTATCTTAGTTTACTTTTTATGTTACACTTGGCACCCCATAGTAATGTACAAATCTCATAAACCCATTACGTATTCACAATGGAACAAAGTAAACATATCACACATTTAAACTAAGAAATTGCAACATTAAAAAAGCATATTTTTTCAATTTTATTGCAGCAACACCTCACAGAAACATTGGGACAAAGCTGTACAGTGGCATGAATATGAAACAGCTGGAGCATTTTGAAACTAATCAAGTTAATTGGCAACAGGTCAGTAAGAGGATTGGGTACTAATACAGCATATTAGGAAAACTGAATAATTCAGAGGTAAAGATAGGCAGAGTCAGCAAAACACTACATCTAAAAATAGTGATATGATTTCAGAAGAAAATTCCTCAACAAAAAGATTGGAAATACTTTGAATGTTCCATAATCTCCAGTTCATCAGTAAAAGATTTCTGGAGAAATCTCTGAGCTCAAAGGATAAAACAGAAAGTCCATATTGGCTGTCTGTGATCTTCAGGCCCTCAGGTCAAATACTGTTCTGGACATCATTCCATGGCCTCAGGATTATTTCCACTGTAAACAGTTCACTGTGCCATCCACGAATGCAGTTTAACGCTCTATCATGCAAAGAAGGAGCCACATCTTAACATCATGAAGAAACACCACCATCTTCTTTGGACCAAAGTTAATTTAAAATAGACTGAAGCAAAATGGAAAACTGTTCAGTGGTCAGACAAATCAAAATTTACATTTTCTTAAATTACGGGTGCCACATCCTCTGTATTAAAGAGGAGAGGGACCATCCAGCCTCTTTTTAGCCTACAGTTCAAAAGCTAACCTCTCTGTTGGTATGGGGGTGTATTAGTGCCCATAACACAGACAGCTTAAACATCTGGAAATGCATCTATCCATGTAAACATATGTAAGCAGGTGTTAGAACAGCATAGTATCCCATCCAGATGTCTTTTTCAATGAAAGCTTCGCATTTATCAGCAAGGTAAACACTAAAACGCAGTCTGTGTCCATTACAACATCATAGCTTTTTAGCAGAAGAGTTTGGGTGCAGAACTGACCTGCCTGCAGCCCTGACCACTCACCAACTGAAATTCTTTGATGCATCATGGAGCAGAAATCCAGTATAGGCCCAGAACTGTTGATTTCAGATTTCTTATTTTTAATTGTCAATAAAATAGGGTGAGGAGGTTTGCAAATCATTGTATTCTGTTTTTATTCACATTTTACATAGTATGTCAACTTTTTCAGATAAGGGCTTGTTTTTCATAACTCTTTGTTTAATGGGGTTTAATCCGATTTATTATTGTCATTTTATGTTCAAAATGCAACAAACCTTTCTTTTCCATTTCAAGACACTGTTTTAGTTGAGCAACTGCACCTTCTGAATGAAAACTCACCTCAAGCCTCACCTACATCACTATCAGATTGTTACCACCGAGTGTCTCAGTCTGCCACTCTGTCTGTTGCCTGAGCTCTCAAGGGGAGAGTCCTGCTTTAATTACTCCTGCTGTGGAGTAGATCAGAGTTGTCTGGAATTAGGGCTTTTGTGTGTATGTGTGTGTATGAATGTGGTCGTCAGAAAGAAAGAAAATTAAAAATCACATCTTTCTGTTCTGTTGTTATGACACGCCATGAAAACTTAGGCTAGGAATATTGCTTATGTGTAAAAACATTATGAAAAAACAAATGTGAATTTCATGAAACTTACTGGAGCAAAGAACATGCACCGCAGTTAATTTAAAACTCCTTCAATCCTAGTTTTTTCTCCTTTAATAATCAGGTTAGTGACTGCTACAAATAAAGGTCTAGGTCTCCTTAAAGGAATACATATTTCTCAGAGGTTTAAACTGATGAGAAGCAGAGCCAGTCCTAGCAATGACACCCTAAGCAAGATTTTAGGTGGCGCCCTCTTGTGCAATTTTCTAAAAGTCACTGCAAATTTACAAACATTCGTGCAGCAAATAAAATAGTTTTGTCTTTGTTGTTTTTCTTGTATCTTTGGAAACTAGGTTGTCAAATTAAAACAGGTAACAAATAATTAATTTGAAACAGAAAATCAGAAGTCTACCTCAAACCTGCCAACCTCTGCTGAGAGCAATGAGGAACACCTGTTCGTGTTAATGAGAAGCTGTGGAGTGAAGCAGTTCTTGGGGGTTTCAGAGCTGGAAAATGCATCGTTTGAAGAGCAATTTACATTTTATATTGGGATTAATAAAACAGCATAAAACCATACATAATGTAAAATAAGATGTAAAATATATTTTTTCATCCCCCATATGTGGTGCCCCCAGTGCTGCCTATGCAGTAATGAGAAGTGAATGAGTTGTGGTCAAACTTCTAAATGAGTATATCTTATGTGATGTACAGCTTAGAGCAGGACTATTCAACTAAATTGTTCCGGGGACCACAGTTACTGCAGGTCAACAGCTCAGGAGCCGAACATCCAGCAGTTTAAGTTATTATGTAAATAAATCAAGTATTACAAAGATCTTATATCTTTGAAATAGTTTATTTTGCTGCATTTAATCATGAATAATTTAATAATGAATACAACATTCCGAACCCTATAAAAGTAGTGATAATTACACATTATCAAAAACAAAAAGAACACATTATGCCTCCTATTTGACACAAATATTATTTTGACATCTCTGACTTGCCAAAWTTTTAAACTAATTTTATTTTCACTTTCATAGTTCTATCTTCAACTGCTTGTAGTTTTAACTGTCTTGACTGTGCATAGAAATGGTTTTTACCAGCTTCTAGCCAAGATTCTGACGTTTCTGTAGATACCAAACATGTCTATGTCTAGCTAAAGGAACTTAGAGTAATTAAAGTAGAAAACCGGGGGTTTGGGCTTAAGAGATGAATGAACCAATTGGCGGGCCGACTTTGGTCACTCGTGGGCCGGATTTGGCCCATGGGCCGCCAGTTGAATAGCCCTGGCTTAGAGAATGTGTTGAGGATGACGCTCAGCTACTGCCATATAAAATACCTGTAAAACTTTCTGAATAATAAACTGAATAATTTCTGTGTAGCAAAGATGTAGAGCAAAATGTATGTATTGTGGCTTAGTCTCAGCAACCCACACACCAAATTATAGCTTGATCCTGGTAAAATCAACAGAGTTATAGTAATTTATGTGTTTGCTAAAGTTGACTAGCTGTGATGACCATCTTGAATAGCATTGACTCCAAAAGTAAATCAGCAGATGCACATTCAGGGATTACTTTTTGACAATTTCATTAAAATATGTTCACTAACAGACAGACCAAGTACACACATGCACATACACAAGCAAAAGCCTCTGTTGTTGAATTAGCCCACAGAAAACAACCAATATGAACTGATTTCAACCCTGCTACCTTCTTTGTTTTGGCTTGAAGTAAATGAACTAAAGTCCTGCCTCAAGGTTGATTTTTCTCTCCGAACTGAAACCTAATTAAATGTGTTGTGAGTTTGTGACTAGATAGCAAAGTGCAAACACACCTGTTTCACCACAACACGCTCTGTTGTCTCCTTCTTATCTGCCACATGCAAAATGAAATGGGACAAAACAAAAACTCTGAGAAGCCACATGTTGCGTTCACGCTCGGTGGGATTTTATTGTGTCACGGCTCAGCTTAAAACGATTTCTCTTCAAGAAAACATCGCAGCAACACGGAACCCAGCTGGTTTTTAAACCTGATTTCTGCAGCCTGTTGAATTTTCAAACTTTCTGCTGTGGCGCAAAAAAGGAGAGCTGGGGGTGGGTGGGACGGCACAAACCATAGGCTATCCTTCTCTCCTGCACCCTAAACTATTTATTTTTAAAAGAAATAAAAAAGCAGTGTGTTAACACAGCAAAATCTACCAGGAAAAACAAAAAACATAAAACAAAACACCACCAGTAGACTGGCCAGTCAGCAAGGGAGATTTGACACACACACACACACACACACACACACACACACACACACACACACACACACACACACACACAAAAGCAGGCATCGGTTCTTATTGATCCGGGCCGCTGATCAGGCCCAGTTTGGAGCCATGTCCTCTGCCACAGGCCCTCCGCCGTGTAAAAACACAATGCGGGCATTTTGATGGATGGAACAGTGTGTCCTCTCTCCCATGGCTACACACACACACACACACACACACACACACACAC